ACAGAAAGAGCTCACCCTAAGGATGTGTACCTCACTCTGCTGGTCCTTGGGAAGCGATGGTGCACATGCTTGCCCCTCACACCAGAGGCTGAACTAAACCAGCAGGTGACCTGCACCAGGGACCTTCTGGCAGCAAAGAAATAGCATGCCCAGTACACCATCCATGTATGGCAAGAAATAAAGGATGCCCACCGTGTGAGACTGACCAGGACACCGGAAAGAGCGTGTCAGCCAGGATTCCACCTAGAGACACATCATAGTTATCAGCATCGCTAAATAATAGCTGACGTTTATAGAGCCTTTAGCCCATGCCACGCACTGTGCTAAGCACTGCCCATGCATTATTGTAGGTAGTCCCCACAATGAGATCTATAATCATCTCCACTATGTAAATGGGGAAGGAAACTGAAGCTTGGAAAGGTTCTGTTGCTTGCCCAAGAATGTAGAGCTGGGAATAGTCAGGACTGGAATGCAAACTGACACACATTTCATCCAGAAACCCAGCCTCTCACTGCTGTCCATCTGTCCTCGGAAACAGGGCCCATCCTTGAGAAATCGCGAGTCTAGGTTTCACTTTAACAAACGAAAGCTACTTCCATACACTAGGCATTTAAATAATTTTCGTAAACACTGGAAATCTATTCCAGGATTAAAGTTTCAAAGTTATTGCATGTCAAATATAATAGATATATTTATATATATTATATAGAGATACAATATATGATATCATATTAAGTTCTATATGTAATGAACCAAGAAACTCAAGCAAAAAAAAAGCAAACCCAACAATATTGTATAAAACATCAGCTGCTTACCAAAAGGTGTTAAATGATTAAGAAATGTGACCTATTAAGATATTACAACATACACATTTATCATTACCCAAAATCTCTATTTGTTCTGGATAAATAATACTTTTTAGACAATTTTGGTAATTGAATACGTTTAGATCCATCTAAACTTAAGTTAAAGCCCAAAATATGTACCACACTTCAATACACACCAACGTTATAGATATGATAGATTCAAATGAATTTCATGAGTATTTTTGACAATGTTCTGGAAACTGTTTGGGATACAAAGATGAGTGAGACTCGGTCTCTCCCTTCACGGGAACTCCAGAGAGTGACCTTGGCATACAACTACAGACCAAGATGAACAAGGTCATGAAAGCCCAACATACAAAGGAAAAATGAAAATGGATATTTTACTTGGTGTGCATATTCTTTAAAGCAATAAGGAGCCCCCCAAAGTTGGCTACTTTCAACTTTTATGGAACATAATTCTTATATTCAAGTGAAATCTGTTCTATCAAGTTTAATTTCTTCCCTATCCTGAGTTATCCAAAAATGATTTTTCCTTCTCATGAGTGCAGAATTTGTTACTACCCTGCTCTTTCCCTGACTGGATGTTATCACATTTTAACTTTCACTTTAAAAATACAAAACACTGTAAAACCTAAAATTTTGAAACATAAAATGTCTTTGGAACTTCAACTAAAAATTTAAAGGGATAAAGAGCATTATTTTTGCCAAAATAAGACTAGATTGATATCTTTAGATGAAATACTTGATTGGTAATTGTATATTTCTATAAATACATGGAAATAGCAATCTAGTCTTAAAAGTTGTAAGAAAACATTACATTTACATTTAGGGAACTTTCACATAACTTTTCCCAGACTCACGTGTACCTTAATTAAAATTTATTTTCTCAACAGGGGACTCTTCAAAGTATCTTGACTACTGCCTCTGCTCTACACACAATATTATTATTTGCTAATATTCAGAAGTCTGAAATAACCTTATCCCTGGGAATATCTTACTATAAAAATATTGCCTTTAATTACAAAATCCAAAACGCCAAATTCTTCAAGACTAGAAGAATGTGTCCAGTTTCTTCAACAACAACAGAAAGGGTTTTTTAAAAAAATAAATAAATAAAAGAAGAGAGAAACCTGAGACATAAGAGAACGTGTATCAACCAAATACAGTGGGTGGACCTTACTTGCCTTCCAGTGCAAGCCAGTCAACTAAACAGAAAGTTCTGAGAGAATTGAGAACATTTAAACATCGTCTGGATGAATCGGTGATGCTGTTACGATTTACACCGAATAACAGTGTTGTGGTCACATTAATGGAATTCTTATCTCTTGGAGAATGTTAAAAAATATTTGTGGATAAAATGATAGAATACCTGGGAACTTGATACAAAATAATTCAGTGGGGAGAGGACTTTCAGAGAGTAAAGATGGAACCAGGTTGGCCCAGCTGAGAGGTACATAGGGGTTAATTACAACAATCTCTCTAGCTTTGGATGTGTTTGGAAGTTCCCATTATTCAAAAAAAAAAAGAGATAATAATTAAGAGAAAATATAAATACTGCTTGAAATGCCACACAGTATCTTTCATACAATAGTTACCTCGGATAACACAATAACAGTCACCTTAATCTGAAGAATTATTGATTGCAAATATGACTTTAAATACAGACAAAGCTATACACAGCAAAGCTACAGTATCTGAAGAAAAGGAAATCTCTTGCACTTAATTTAATCTCCTTTTTCTCTGCTTAAATTTGGGAATAGAAACTGCTTCACCAATTGAATAAATAATAACTATCCCAATATTCTTAATTACTGACTACAATAAACATACTCCTGCATTCTAAGAACAAATAAGAAAATACAGTGTATAACCTAATACTTCTGTTACATGCATTCCTTTTAACAAACATACCTTGGTTATGTATATTCAGGTAATTGAGAAACAGGGAACTGGTGTTGAACTAAATTTCAGACTGGATTCTCAAATCTTTTTTTTTCCTTACATCTAATTTTCTGGGGTGTTTTTTCACGGGGAGAGGGTGGCAAATTTTGATAGTATTAGCTATCACCTAATTAAGTTCTTTGAACCTAGTGGTGTGTGTGGAATCAATAAGTGCTTAAAACACATTGAAATAATGTCAGTGCTGATATTAAAAAGCAGCCATTAAGACTAAACTGTTTTTGTAGAGATTACAGGAAGGGGACATTAGCAATGACAACAAGATCACAGTTTAGATTGGAACCAGTGTTAATGCAGAAGACATTTCTGGACGTTCTCCCTAAGTACTGTTTGGGATAGAGCTGAGTCCCTGCACTTTCAACCAAATGTGGTGAGAGATTGGTGCAAAATCTTAGAAGACGAAATGTGCTGTATCTCTTTCCCAGCCTTATTAGTTCGCATCGCTGTTTTGATCCTAGTCTCTTTTTACATAGTTTCTGCTGTTTCTCTGGATTTTTTTTTACCGTCTGTTGTTGCCTTCCAATCCACATGAAAGAAGCAGGGGGACTGGTTCAGGCCGACGGGAGAAGAGAATGGTTTCTGAAGGGTCAGCTACACTCCCAGGAATAAACCAGTACCAGCGGTTTGGGATACACGGGTCCTGAGCGGTTAAGGTGTGGCCGCCCTGCTGGATCACCCTGCGCTGGGCCTGCTGGCGCGACAGGCACCTGGGCTCCAGTCCGCCCGACCCCCAGACGCTCTCTCTCTTCTTCCAAATCTGAGCCTTCCCTCCCCTCGCAGCCCACCTTCCGACCTGAGCGTGAACCGAGGGCAGCTGCTCCCGCGGCCCGGCGTCCTCACCCGCCCAAGCCCGTGCCGCCCAGCAGATAGGGCGCAGGACGCCTCCGACGTCCGGATCCAGGGCCCCGCGCGGAGCGCGCAGTGGAGCGCAGAGTCAAGATTCCAGAGATGAATCTCGGGAGAGTGCGGGGCAGGTAGCTGCCCACCCCCACCGGCGGGGCAGGCGGCAGGGAGGAGGCCGCGGGTCCCGTCTGCAAGCGGACCAGGGTCGCTGTGCCTCCGACGCCTGGGTTCTTGGGGATCACGCGGGGAAAGAGAACGAAAATGCGGCCAGGGAACAAGAACGCACTCTAGGGCCTCTCTGAGACCCTTCGTTGAGTGGAGTCCTTTAGTTCGACGTCCCCGGGTGGTGGCCACGTCCTGTCCTCGCAGTGACCTTCCTAAGGAAATGCAGAGCAGACTCCGGGGCAAAAGGCTGGGAGACCGGAGGCGCGCGCGGGCTTCGGCGCTTCCTGGCCCGGGGCCCTCCAGGCCTCGGCCTCTGCGACCCGAGAGGGGCCCAGGCAGGAGAAAGTCGCGGGCGCCCGTAGGGTTGTGGTTCAAAAACCAGACAGGGACCGTTATCTCTGCCGCAGAAGGACCCTCGAAAGAGTTTCTTAGTTTCTGTAAGTCACAAATGTCTGAGCTGCATAATGGGGATTCCATAGTGTCATTCGGGCGTAAAGGCGTGTCCTGCGCAGGGACCAGGAACTAGAGGTCAGCCGGGTGGTTACCGTTTCAGCGGGCAGGACCACCAAGGCTCTCTTCCCAGCTTCCCTCTTGCTCTCGCCCCAACCTCTCTGAGCCTCCCAGGCCCTCGGGCTCCGCTCCTCCCGGAGGCTCTGGACACAGTCAGCTTTCTGGCCTCAAGACGATGAGCCGGACGGCCGGGAACCACCGCAGGCACGGGATCCCCTCAGGCAGTTCGGGGGCGGCGTTACCCTGTCTGCGCAGATTTTAAATGGACCGGAGCTCTTGACTGAGGCCGCGGCCAGAGGCCAGCACCAGGGTGAGCAGAACTCGGGACTCCGAAGGCGCCGCGACGCCCTTGTGCAGAACCACCGGGATCCAGAGCCTCAGCCTGGTGTTCTGCGTGGCCCGGCCCGGTCACCACGCTGAGCCCGAGGCCGCCCGTCCACATTCCGCCGCCCACCCTCCCTGTCTAGGGGCCTGCGGAGTTCTCGACTTCATCAGCGGTTTGCTCGGGCCGCACTAAGACCGGACCTCCCCACGCGGTGGCCGCGCTTTGGCCAGGTGTAACCGAATCGCCACATTCGGTTGGAGAACGACGTTTAACTTACTCTGCCACTGAACTGAGGTTTTTCCTGAAAATTCATCATTCGATATAGTTTCATTAGCTAAAGATTAGGAGCTTGGGGGCCGGCTCGAGGCAGGTTACGATGACCCGCAGTCACCAGCGTTGGCGGCTGTACTGGTCTGGCCTCGGGCAATGGCAGGAAAGAGAACAAGCCGTCTCCTGCGAGACGCGCCCCGCTGGGAGAGCCTCGGGGGGTCGCAGGAGGCTCCACCTGGAGCCCGAACGACGTCTGTGGACCGGATAAAATAAGTAATGTGGGCCCGGAGATGTTTTTGCGCGAAGGGCAAGGGAGAATTGGAATGTGAACCGGCTCCCTTTATTCTCGGCTTCTTTCCAAACTCTTCGGTTGGCCCAGACCTGGAGAATTTGCTAAATCGATCTTAAAGCGGAGTGTCAGACAGACTGAGTTCACGACTGGTCAAAGCCCAAGGAGGGAGAGGTGGAGGAAAGAGAAAGAGGTTTGGGGAGGGTCGCTTGCAGCCTAAGATAGGAGCCTAACGCGTGGGACTGGCGGCGCCGCCACGCAGACGAAGGTTGCAGGTGCGGAGCAGCGAGCAGACTCCGAACTTCTGCGTCCCAGCCGCTACCAAAGGTCGGGCTTGGCAGCTTTCCAGGACGTCTCTGGAATCGCACCACCAAACCCGGAGGAGGTAAGGATTGCGGGCAGAAGGTGCCGAAGAAGTTCCGAGTGGTGGGGTGGAGATGAGAAGCTGGAGTGAGAATGGACCAGTTAGACGGCTGTACATACCTGTGTCTATCATCCCTCCCTCGGGGCCGAGGCGGGGAACTTCTTCACATTGACAGAGTGACTTCTTCCAAAAATAATCTGAAAGTAATGCTTTGAAAAGAAAAGGAAAGGAAAAGAAACAAAAAGAAAAAAATAAGAGGAGTGGAGGGGAGGAGCAGGGAAGGGAAGGGAAGGAGAGAGGGGGAAATTAGTTTGTTCAAGAGCGGGGAAGGTCTCGAGAAATCTGCGTCTTCTGGCGGGGTATTTCATGATGGCATCTTGGTCTTCTTTCCCTTCCAGCCAGTCACCTGAGGCCCAGTACAGTGAAATCTTTCTGGATGCAAAGTCGTTCCAGAAATTAACTCTTTTCAAAACAAAAAGAAGTTACTTTGTGGTTTAAAAAGACAGAACAGGAGCCCCTAAAGTCACTTTCCTAGAAAGATAATTTTTAAAATTGTAAATGAATTACAGTTCATTTTGTAACGACATGAATGCTTCTTTGATACAATCTTTTTCTTTGGGCCTTCGTTTTGGAAGTTCTAATGGTTTTTAAAATACAGCCCTGGCTAGTGTGGCTAAGTGGATTGAGCACCGGCCTGTGAACCAAAGGGTCACTGGCTCGATTCCCAGTCAGGGCACATGCCTGGGTTGTGGGCCAGGTCCCCAGTGTGGGGTATGTGAGAGGCAACCACACACTGATGTTTCTCTCCCTCTCTTTCTCCCTTCCTTCCCCTCTCTTTAAAAATACACAAATAAATATATCTTTAAAAAAAAAAAACACCTTCCTCCCATACCCAGCAAACACTGGCCTTCCAAATCGATTTCGAATAGTCCTCCAAATTATTCAGAAGAAAAACATCTTTAGGAAGATAAAAAATAAATGGAGACTATATTTACATTTCCTCCAATTGTTTTATTCTATAGATTATATATATATTAAACCCCATATTTCCAAAGACAGGTCTTTTCAACTTCAAATATTTGGAAGTTTTAAAAGTAATTTTGAAAATGAGTTGTTTCTGATGCCTATAATGAATAAAATTGTAAACTAAATTGTTTAATTGGGAGGAAAGAACGAATTCTAAAAGAAGTTCAATTTAGAAAGCGAATAGTGAGAAGTAATATAAAACGGTGTCGTATAATGATTTAGCACTTTATTTAGTTTATATAGCTGGGTTTAATTTTAACACCTTTCCATGGAAGTGGGCACATTGGAGATACAAATCAGAGATAAGTGCTCTGAAATTAAGATTCTACTTCCAATACACATCAATTTCAGGAAGACATAAAGGACATGGGCACTTTGTACTGGACTTGGGGATAATACTGGCAGTTCCCAGGGAGAGAAAATGGGAAAACAGGGTGTGCACTGCACATTGTATCTTTGTTTTTCTTTTCACACCAGAACAAAATGCCCCACTCACGTTCATCATTCCTCTGGAAATGTGCAAATCGGAAACGCCCAAGAAACCACACGTGGAGGCTGGAAAAGGTGAGTTTTGACACCATGTGAGGTTGACGTTCGTGTCGTCTAAGGAAACAGTACTCAACTTTGCCTTTGTAAATGTTTCCAAGCGAACAAAAATTAGTGGTTGCTTTGCTGCGGAATGCTAATGCAGACACCTAGTCTGGGCTGTGCAAGGTGTAGTGAGTATTCAAGGACAGGCGGCTGGGAGAGACGGACCGGTGTCACCCTGCCCTCCCTCTTCTCTCCAGGTCCCCTCGCCACCTGACTTCGGCCTGGAGCCCTCTGCTCCGGGCTGACACCCCAGCAGCGCAGCCGCGGATAGGTGCTGGCCCAGCAGCGCGCCTTTGCTGGCCAAGTCCTGGTGCTGCTGCTGTTGCTGCTGCAACACTGTCCGAGCAGCGGATGCGGTGGCAGCAGGCACGTGGAGCAAGGGAACAGTGGCCTGGCTGTGCAACAGGCACGACGAGCGTTGCAGCAGGTGACAGTAGCCCCATGGAGTCGGAGACAGACTCTGGGCGGTTCCTGTTCCCCCTTCTCCGACTCCTTGCATGATACTCTCGATGCTAAAGGAGGTGCATCCGCCTCCCGGCCGTGACGCCAGCCCCTTGGCCACCTCCCAAGGCCCGGAGCCCGTGGTGGGCTGCAGCGCTCCAGAGGAGCCGCTGGGGGTCACCGTGCTTTGCACTTTCCCCGGTGCCTCCAAGTAGGTAGGGGCGGACAGCAGCAGGTAGCGAAGGGGATGAGGATGCAGCAAAGCGCACGGGCGGCTCCCGGGAGCGGAGGCCGGGTAGGCCCCGGACACCAGCGGCCGGGCTGGAGACCCGAGCAGCAGGCTCGCGTAGGGGCCATGCGGGGTGTCTGGCGCTGCGGGCAGGGGGAAGGGGTGGTGCAGGTGGGCTCCCGAGGGCGGGTGGTGGCGCTTGAAGCGCTTCCTGCGCCGAAGGAAGCTGCCGTTATCGAACATGTCCCGGGAGGCGGGGTCCAGGCTCCAGTAATTGCCCTTGCCCGGGTGGCCGGGCTCTCGGGGGATCTTGACGAAGCAGTCGTTGAGCGAGAGGTTGTGTCGGATGCTGTTCTGCCAGGCCGGGAACTTGCGGCGGTAGTAGGGGAAGCGGCTGCGGATGAAGGCGCAGATGCCGCTGAGCGTGAGGCGCTTGTGCGGGCTCTGCAGGATGGCCATGGTGATGAGTGCGATGTAGGAGTAGGGGGGCTTCGCTGGCTGCGGGGCATCGCCACAGGTCCCCGCAGATCCCGTGGAGGCCGCGAACTTGGGAGAGTCGCTCCGGCAGCCTCTGCTCTCCGGGCGCTCCCAGGACAGCGCTCCCGTGCCATGCTGCGCCCCCTGCGGCTCGGGCTGGTGCAGCTGCTCCAGGAACTGCGGGCTCTCCTCGTCCTCCACGTTGTCCTCTTCCTTTTCGTTGTCTTCACCTTCCTCCTCTCCCTGGATATCGATCTTACAGGCTTCCCCTTCGGAGCCCGGGAAGCTGCACTGCGGTGTGGAGTGAAGGCGCTCGATTATCGGCAAGTTCATGGAGGAGCAGGTCCCGCAGCCGCTGGGGAGTGGCGGCCGCTCACCTGCCCTGCAGCGGGCTGGGCTGGATGCCAGGGTTAGGGTGATCCAAGAAGTGGGAATGTTCGTGGTGACTCTTTAGATGTTCTTTACTTCTGGCTTCTCCTTCTTTGCAATACCCAAGTGCAGCACAGATGCGCTTTGCCTTTTACTAAAGCTTCTTCGAGTCCCTGCGTGGTGGACTCTTGCGCCCCTTCATACCATTCTTGTCCTACCTCGGAGCGCTCCCACTTCCTCGCCACGCAGTCCAATGCAGAGGGGCCTCTGCGCAGTAGCCGATCTGGGAAGAGCCTGCAGCCTCCTCCTCCTCCTCCTTACACCCACCCGCCACTGAGGAAGACGCTTCACTCAGGTTGGCCAGCCAGGCGCGCCCGGAGTTACACAGGCTTTGTTAATGCACTTTCAAAACTGCCAAATAGAAGGGAGGTAGGAAAATATCACACCCGCCAATCTACGACCACCGCGGTAACCAGCCTCCCTCCTGGAGGATGGAGGGCAATGAAATGTACATAGTGTTTGTCAGCGAATGTGTAAAGTAAAATCATGCTTCATGTTTCATATAGCTGGTTCATCACCCAGTTGCACTGGTGGATTCTGTCCTTATTCAGAACGATTAACTGAGCTATTATAAATATTTTAACTATATTCCCAAACTCAGGGTGTTGTGAAGAGCTGTTTCCTCATGTCTTCTACTACCCACCCTATCTCCCCCAGAAGTTCTCCAGACTCAAGTTTTCAGAAAAGGCTGAAATGTCCTGGCATTAAATTGTGGAAGCGCAGGGTGGAGGGAAAGCCAGGGGGCTAGAGGGAAGTCCCCTTCCCCGTGATTCCCGCCTTCTTTCAACATTTAACCACAGTATGAAATGCATTTTACAAAACAAGCATGCATATACAGACTTGTATAACTAAAATGGGTTTCATAAAGCAATGTACTTATGCTAGAGTGATCAGTGATATTTTTTTAATGGCCACAGCCAACTAAAACGATTTTGCCTCATAGTAACCAGTACACACCTAGTTTGAAATATCCTGTTTTCACAAAGTGGCCCCACTTCAAGGGATGCGCCCAGGATGCGAGGGGCTCCTCTCTCCTTTTCCCCCACCCCCATGTTTCTTTCAAAAAACCCCCCTAAAATTCCCATCAAGCATTTTTATTAATAGCAAAACTTAAGTGAGGCAAGGAGAGGCTGCAGCTCCAGTCAGGGACTGGCATCTGTTACTCACACAGGAGAAGGAGCCGCAGGGCAGGGGGCTCCTTTACTCACTTGACGTCTTCGGAGGTGACAAGATTTTTGGATGGTTACATTTAATCCACTCAGAGGGCAAAGCAGTGGTCCAGTAGACTGTAACGATGTGTTATATAAATAGAGATCTTATGGTAACATAATAAGCCATAGTATATACTCACTATACAAGGAATTTGAGGTGGCATCTAATAGCCATGCAGCATAAAAGGATATTGTATTCGCCACTGGTTGTCGCATAGTAAATCTCTCATTATTGTTTGTAAAATGATGACTTTTCAATCAGAAGTCAGAAGCCAGCTAAAAGGTCAAAATATGACTAAAAAGTAGGTTAGTGCCTTCAGGATAAAAAGTAGCTTAAGGTAGCTGGTGCCTTCATGATAAAATTTTGAAAACAGCTTTCTTGTGAGGTCTTTACCCTCTAATCGGAGGCTGCCCAGTTGTATGTAGTTTGAAGGAAGAGAAACAACAGGGTTTGAGCCTAATAGATTTGTCTTTAAATCCCGAATCCACCAATTACCACTTGTGTGATCTACTAAATTAAACTGGAGGGCAGAACAGGTGTCTTACTTGGCCGCATTCCCAGGTGTCTCCCTCTCAACCCCTGCAGGTAAGGCACGGTTCTTGCGTCAGCATAGAAATCAAGATCATCTGGGGAAGGGAGTATTATTTAGTTTTCCTAGAGTCAACTTCTACTGAGACTGGGGTTATTTAAAAATGAAGGGAGAGCCCTGATTGGTGTAGCTCGGTGGACTGAGCTCAGGGCTGTGAATCACAAGGTCACCAGTTTCAATTCCCAGTCAGGGCACATGTCTGGGTTGCAGGCCAGGTCCCCAGTGGGGGCCACGTGAGAGGCAACCACACACTGATGTTCCTCTACATCTCTTGCTCACTCCCTTCCCCTCTCTCTAAAGAAATAAATAAAATCTTTTTAAAAAATGAAAGGAGAAAAGGAAGAACACCATCAGGGAAAAAAACCCCACTGATGGGGGCGGGGTGGGGAGGGGGTGGGGAGGGGGATGGGGCGGGGGAGGGTAGGGCGGTTGGAGATGCGTCAAAGGGCACACAGGAAGCAACTGAACAAGCTCCCAGTGGCCAAGGCTGGGACAATTCGAGCAACAAAATGAAGTCATATTGGATTATAACCCAAAGTATAAAATAAATACCCATGTGTCCACAGTGATAAAAATGACTGAATTAATAAAGGTGGGGGGTGGAGGCAAATCTCCCTTGCAGAAGAATTCCAGATGAATTAGGCAGATACTCAGCCCCGCAAGAGGACTGCCTCCCCTGCATTACCGCATACAGCACATAGGGGCCTCCCTCCGGGAAGCCCGGTGTGGGAAGAGGCGGAAAGAGCGCCTTAACCGTACAGTGGGCAACCTAACAAATGCCGCTTCCGCCAGGTGACCAGGTGATGAGTCAACCAAACAGGCATAAATCGTGTTGACTGCATGTCCCCTGGGTATGACGTGAAGAAAACGGCACTCTGTGCTCTTCCTCCCCCAGACCGAAATCCAACCAGGAGAACACACAAATTCCCAAGGAGGAGCGTGCTATGTTCCTGACCAGCACTTCCTTCAAAACGATCAATGTTACCAAAACAAGTCAAGTCTAAGAAACTGTCACAGCCAAAGGAGTCTAAGAAGACACGGCTATTAAATGTAACATGGAAGCCTGGATAGGATCCTGGGAAAGAAAAAAAACACTAGGTTAAAAGTAAGGATACCTGAATAAACTGTGGGCTTCAGTTAATGATACTGCACCAATACTGGGTCACTAATGTAACGAATGCACTAATTACACCGTTGTAAGATGTTAACTCTGTGAGTGTGTGTGTGTGTGTGTGTGTGTGTGTGTTGGGGAGCTCTCTTTTACTGCCTACTCAATTTCTCTGTAAATCTAAAACTGTTATGAAAAATACAATCTATTAATTCAAAAAATTAAACATGGAAAAAATGGACATAATAGCCAAAAAGTAAAAACTTCAACATCCATCAACTGGATACTTATCAATTAAAAGGACCAAAGTGCTGATACATGCTACAACATGATGGATCAAGAAAACATTATAATAAATGAAAGGGGTCCAAAACAGACACTCAAAGAAACAAAGTAGTTGCTTTTATAAGAGCAGGGGACAATTGGGGATAACTGCTAATGGATACAGGGTTTCTTTTAAAAGCAAGGTATATTAATTACAGTGTATGAGTTATATCCAAATAAAGTTGTTATACAAAATATTTCAATATAAAAACAAAGAGCTGTATGAATGAAAACTAAATTCAATGCCTTGAAAAGACTCCATTATAGCACGTCACTCTAAAAAAAGCTGCCCTGGCTGGTGTGGCTCAGCAGATCCAGTGCCTGCCTGTGAACCAAAGGGTCCCTGGCTTGATTCCCAATCAGGGCACATGCTTGAGTTGCAGGCCAGGTCTCCAGTAGAGGGCACACAAGAGGCAACCACATACTGATGTTTCTCTCCCTCTCTTTCTCCCTCCCTTCCCCTCTGTCTAAAATAAAGAAATAAAATCTCTTTTAAAAATTTTAAAAATAAAAATAAATTTAAAAAGAAACTCTTATTGTCTGGCCCCATCAATTCTTTAGTGTTGCTTTAAAAATCAAAAGCTTTAACGTTGTCTCCAACCACATTTAACATGGGACCTATTGCATAATGGACCCTCAGTAACTAATACTTGATTACTTCTTTTCTAACATTCAGAAGACACAATCCTTGTTTGAAAAACACACCATTCTAAACTAATCTACAGGAAGGGTGATGATGTCTGATTTCTCTACATTTTACTCTGAAAATTGAAGGCAATTTGGTCGTCAACAATTAAAAGGTAAAGTTGATTCCGACAGTAAATACTGAGAAAAAATATAGTGCATCTTTCTCATCAAACTATTTCAAGTTGCTAGGCAAAGTCAAAATTCTTTCAACACTACTTCCACAATGTATGGCTTTTCTAGAACTAATAATCTAAAATACAGTTTTCCCAATTACTTTAGTAGTCCAAATTATTCAATTTGTAGCAAGCAACAAAGCCCGTTTAAGTGTTTAAATAAAAGCTTGTTAGGTTTATTTTGTTGATAATTCTCTTCAAACTTCAGGACCGAGGAATTTTAGACCTCTTCAATCACCTGGTCTTCCTCCATACCCTGTACTGACCCTTCTTACAGCTATCTTAAATTCAGTACCAAATGTTCCTGCCTCTTTCACTAAAGCTGTGGAAAGCCTAGGAAAGAACCATGTTTTAAGAAGGTGTGCAAAAGCTTTAATTTTTTTTTAAGTCAGGTCTTGCTGGAAAAGGGGAATTCACCTTTACTGAGATTCTGTATCCAGGCTGCTTTAAATCCCTAGAACAATCCAGAGATCTACGTTGTTAGCTCTCTTTTATGAAAGAGGCAGAGGCTCAAAGATTTGTAATTCATCCCATATCGCTCACTCAGAAGGCTACAGTTTTGGATGAACTATGCCTAGACCTTGATCACCATCATCAATACTCTGCAAATCTTCTGCAGGAAGGAGAATAATGGCCCACATTTTTTATTTTAGTTAGCAATTTGTATTATAAAAATAAAATCTTATTTTGAGGATATCTATGGCAAGTTTCAAAGTTCTCTGAAGGTGCTGATTATCCTATGACTCTGATCATTGAAAAAGACTTCATTTTGGGGAAAATGAAAATGAACAGGACAATACATCTTTAAAAGAATATATAAACAACATCAACATACAGAATAAGATTTATATTAAAAGCGATATATCATTCCA